TCCAGTTTTGGCAGAACTGGTTGTCGCCCCTCCCCATCTGGTTGGAGAGCATCGCCCATATGCAAAGCATCCCAGTAAAACCTACGGCGATGCCTCGCAGCGGTGATTTTGACTGCTCGGCTTTTTAGACTAGTTGGTCTAGGGCTAGGGCATCATCTGCATGTTCTCGAATTCGAATGCATGCTGAGCGGACAACTGTCCACCAGTCGCTCAGCATCGTCCTTGCAATTCGTTTGGTTCACTCCGGCCGGAGTACCATTTGCTCCAAACACAAACCTTGAAGTCAGCAACAACTTGTCCGTGAAATCGACGGATCCTCTCGGTCGCGACTTGTGATTCGGGCTGTGGGTTTAGGGCTTAGGGGTCAGCACCTCGTCCTGCCTGTCATGCTACATCCAACAATGCTTGCAAAGCTCTGACTGGACCGGAAGTATGCTCCCCTGCTTAGTCCGGAATTCGTTTCCGCAACCGGCCACAGGACGGACACCACGAGGCACCTTTCTACGGGCGTTGACAAGCATTAGGAATGGTTCTTCGGTCATTTGTCATGATGGCTTCAATGCGAAAGGATGGGTTGTGGCCATGTGCAGCAGTCATCCATTAATCTGAGCCCCTCCTCAAACTTTTTTACCCAAGAGCACTGCTACAAATCCCCGCGGGTCAGCAAGTCCCATGAAGACTACGATTTAAAAACGTCTCAGTTGGCTTTCTGAGCCTTCGGGATCCGTCGGTTCAGTCGCACCATGTGACACTCTTAGGGATTATAGGGTTTAGGATTCTGGGAGGCCCGCCTTTTCTGGCGGAAATCACCCTCCAGCTTGTATGGATATGTGCGCAATTCACGCTCGCGCTGGGAAAGCTATCCGACAGATCCTCAGAAGTGCAAGGTGCTGCGCTGTCTGCTGGACGCTGGGGCGGATGCAGATCATGTACCCCGGCATGGGGTTTGTTCTCGATTGGGTGTGCAGGGCCTTTGGTGCTTGGTATGATAGGAATACACGTGTTGGGTGCATGAATCAAGGCTGTTCTCGAATGTAGGTGATGGCTCCCGGCATGACTGGTCAGCAAGATCGCTGGGCTCTGGCCAAGTCTGCAGTACGTGCTGTAAAACCTATGCTGCTGTTCGTGCTGCTCCACCACATCTTGCGACAGGATGCAGGGCTTGCAGTCGGTGCACGACCTAGCTAGAGACCACAGACTGTCGCTAGCAAGGGCATGTGGAGCTAGTCGGCACAACAGACCGCTGGACGTAAGACTGCCCGTGTTCTGGGCTCCTCAATAAGTAGTCTTCGGTTTGTGTAAGATCGTAAGGCCTGAAATTACAGCGAGGTCCTCGTGAATGGCGCCTCATCTCTCATGCTTGCTGCTCAACTCGGTGGCTGACTCAGTCTTCAAAGGGCTTAGGGTTGAGGGGATTCAGGGTAGGCTGTAATTCTGGCCTCGTACTGAGATGTGTATTAGCTGAGGGCATAATGCCATCGCGGACCCTGTTGTGAGCAACGCTGCTGAGCCCTTACAGCATCGGTGGGCTGGCTCCATACCAGTGTGAGGCGGTGTCAGGAGGTCCCAGCCTTGTGGATGTTCTCCCTGAGTTTGGACTGCAAGCTCGCTGGAGGCGACATGGAGTCTGTCTTGGCCTTGCTGCAAGCGGGTGCCGAGGTGGGAAGGCCGAAATCCTCGGTTTAGGCTGTATAGAGTCGTAGGGGGCCGGGACGAAAAGTCACCTGTGGTACTGAACACACGTCCGTGTAGTTGGCATGCATCGATGGACGGCGTATTGCGAGCACAGGCCCGAACCATGTCAAACTGTCAATGAACATGAACCGACATCAGCCCTCCACCAGGCTTATCGCGTTCGTGACAGTTGAAAAGTTGGAAGAAACGCAGAAACAGGTTCATCCTCGGCACTGCAGAGCAGCAGTGAAGGACAAGGAACCCTAAATCCTAAACCCTCAAATTCCGCACAGGACAGATCTAGGATCTAAGGCTGGATCCCCTCGCAAACCTGGAGATCCCGAATTGGATGTGAGACTTCTCGGACAGGTGGACAAGAGAGATAGGGATGGCTCCACATCTCTGATTCTTGCTTCTCAAGAAGGGCACCAGGAAGCTTGTCTGAAGATAGAGCTTGGCCAGAGCCGCCCCGACCAACTGCAGAACATTCCTTACGTGCACTTCAGAAGTGGCTGCGAACTGGACTACTGAATTTCTGTTCGATTTCAAAGCAGTTGTCCCTACACCGGTCCTTGCCGACAATACCAGTCCGAAGCCGCTACCATGCACGTTGCTCCGATATTTTGCAGCCGATCCCTCCGTGCAAATCCCAAAGAGGCAAGTCCGAGAGTCCTGAAGCCTGTAATTTCTAGGTTCATATGTTATGACTTAGTTTATTTGGGCTTAATATCATCCTGCCATAATAGAAACGGTTTAGTTTTTCGACCAGGGTACCCAGCCCCCTAAAATGATATTATGAGTGAATGAGTGAGTGTGAGGCATTTTTTTGGCCGAAGACATATGCCTGGCCTGACAAATTGACGACGCCTCGAGCGCGAAGGCTTACAGTGTCAGCAACATCACACGCAAGAACCAGCAACTAAGTGCCCAACCCGACCTGGTAGTGGTAGTGGTGGTGGTAGTAGTAGTAGTACTACTACTACTACCACTACTACTACTACTACTACTACTACTACTACTACTACTACTGCTTGTTGTTGGTGCAGGCAGCAAGCAGCAGCAGCACGAGGAGCAGCAGTAGTAGTAGTAGTAGTAGTAGTAGTAGTGGTAGTAGTAGTAGTAGTAGCAGCAGCAGCAGCAGTAGCAGTAGCAGCAGCAGCTTTTTTAGATCTCCAAGGCATTGGTTCCTCTTTTGCTGGATGCCGGGGCCTCTGTGGACTTGGCACGGCAGGGCTCCAGCGCTCTGATGGTCGCCGCGCAGGCGGCTCAAATGTCTAGAGTTAGAGGAACCCTTAAAGGAACCTCTAAAGGAACCGCATAAAGGAACCCTTAAAGGAACCCCATAAAGGAGCCCCATGAAGGAACCCTTGAGGGGCCTCTCGTGTAGGGTCCTTAGGTCTTTTTTCGAAGGATTTTGGATGGTCCTAGGCTTCTAGGCTAGGGCTTAGGGTTTTGGCTGCAGGGTGGTTTGGATAGTTCGTTCTGGATGTTAGTGAGTCAGTTGGGCTTTAAGTTTCGGCATAGCGGTGGTTTGGGTGTGCGACTTTCCTTCCGGGTTCGAAAGGAGTTTATGAGATTGAGCTTTCTGTGTTCTCTCCAGTGGTTTTGAGGGTATGCAAAAGGTCAGATAACCATTTGGTGGGATTCCTTCATGTAGGCAGCTTTCTAATCGGATCGGAGCTGATTGAACGTGTCAGGTTCCCTCAAAAACCGAAAGCCTCGACACCGAAACGGTTTAGGGCTTGGGTTTAGGCTTTATTTTTCGGATTCGGGCTTAGGGCCTTGGGTTTTGTGAGGATTCCCGGTTTCCACCTGCAGGTGAACGCTAATGCTTGGGAGTTTCATGATTTCCTTGGTTGACCGTTTGGTGGGGGTGTTCCGGAACCCGAATGTGGAAACCCGAATCCCAAAATCTGTGGAGAGATTAAGCTCCTGAACCAAAACTGTGAACTGGCCAAGAAGCCACAATCCCTGCACCGCAAGGCCTTCTGCGGCCCTGAGCCGCCTAAACCCTAAATCGAGTAAACCTAAACTTTAATCGATGTGTCCTGTATACGTCGAGGCGGGACATGGAACGACAGTCGCCGCACTGCTCGTGTCCTGGCGCACCGACTGTGGCTTTGTTTGGTGAAGCAGTCGTAGTCGTAGTCGTCGTCGTCGACGTGGTGGTAGTGGTAGAGGGACTGGTCGTGGCACTGGAATCGTGATCTTGGCCCTGGTCGTGTGGTTGTGGGTTGTGGTGGTGGCTTTCGTGGTCGCGGTCGTGGCAGTGGAAGTTGTAGTGGTGTGTTGTGGTGCAGTCATCTTCGTCGGTGCAGTAGCTATCGTCGATGTAGTGGTGGCGATGCATTTTGGCCTTGCGCCAGGGAGCGCCAAATCACGCTAGAGGTTTTTAATGTGCACGAATATGTAATTCGTTTACTTTGATTGGTTGAGCCGCATGTGTACTGCCCATTCATCCGCGTTTAAGCGATTGGAAGCTTCTTCTGATCCTAATTAGCTTGCGATTTTTGGCTTCTTGCAGAGCCCTGAAAACGTGAGTTCGGTGACAGCCTTTGCCACGCAACAAAAGCAAGGCTGCAGATGCCTGCATGACCATATCCAAATACAACACCGTTGTTTTCATATGTATGTATACGCATGCGTCGTATGTGCATAGCACTCGATGCCTATTTTTCTGAACAGATCTCCGACCGCCGTTCATGAGCCCTCTCCTGCGAGGAGGTGTTGAGACTGCCGGAACCTGAAGCCTATTATGTATTATATAATATATATATATATCGTATATAATATGATATATTATCTATATAATATTTATAATATAATGTATTTCGACTGCCAACAAGGCAGCAGGTGCTGCCGTCAACCAGGCACGAGAAGACGGCGGCACCGCTTTGCTGCCCGGCAGGGATAAGCAGTTGGAGTTTGTCGGGATTTCGGCGCTACGAATCGCCTTCGTCATGATATCGTGCCACGGCTTTGCAGCCGGCTTTAGCACGAAGCTCAGACCCTCAAAAGCCAACAGCACTCTTGTGCATCTGAGGATGCTGGCCGTGCAAGAGGGGCATCGTGGCATTGTGAAGCTGCTTGGTTTACATTCGCCACACTTCTTATCATGCTTCTCGTAGTAGAGTAGGTAGCCTTTAACCTTCTTGGGGGTGGGGGGCGGTACTTTGTATGATCCCTATGGTGTCAGAGGACATGCCCTGTCCAGTTTTGCCTACACGTTCACATGGCTGCAGACGTCTCTGTGCATTCAGGAGCTCCTTTGGCCCAATTGTCTTTCGACACTAGTGCTACACAGTGTAACCTTGCCTCCGTAGCAGGCCCTTTTCAGAAGCCATAGGCTCCGGTGTGCGTCCCGAGACGTGTGACGACAAGTCAGAGACTTTCTTCGAGCTGCTGTGAAAACCCTTCGTGCGCTCTACAGTTTTTGGTCTTTCTGCAAGATTCATCTGATAGCTGCAACAGTGACACCTTTGGAGAGGAGAGCCCATCCGCTTACCGATACTGGTAGCGGAGCTCGAACCAGAGCCCGTTACAGAAGCTGTCAGTTTATCCTGCTTTGAAGTGTGGGCCTCCCGCTCTTCTTGTGGAGGCAGCGTTTGCGAATTTCTTCTGCTTTCGTGGAGCTGAGATGGACAAGGACTATGATGCCTCCCTGGCGAAATGCGGCTGGGACGGGGACCCGTCCGGTTGGACGGACTTCGTCAGAAGGGTGAGATTATTGTACGAGAAAACGCCGAGAAAGAAGCGAAGGCAACTTGGACCTTCAATTGTATCCCAACTTCGAGAACGTGCATGGACCATCACGCAGGACGTGTGCCACCAGAAGTTAACCAGACGTGACGGCTGCGTTTATCTTCTAGAGTTTCTGCGTGATAGACTGGGGCGTAGCCCCATCCCAGATATCGGCATTCGCCTCGAAGAGCTTATGATCCGATTGAGAAGGACGGCCGGTACGCCTATGTCATCATGGGCGTCACAAGTCAGGCAGACCTATAAAAGGGTTCAAGTGGCTCTTCACCGAGCCCGGAAAGAGCAAGGGACTCTCCAACCCTTGACAACCACAGGCCCTGATGCAGCTCGTCCTTCGGCGCCGTCTTCGCCTTCCAGCTCCTCGAAAAGAGGCCGATCTTCCCCGACCCGTCGTTCGAGCACTGCCACTCAGGAGGAGCCTCAGGCGGAAGCGACGGGCGAGGAAGAGGACCTTCCGGAGCATCCTTCTATGTCTCCTGATGATGAGGATTCCTTCGACCCTGGTGTGGATGCTAAGTCGAGTTGGCGTCGAAGGAAAGACAAGAAGAAGGATGATGAGGATGACGAGAGCGATGACAGTGCAGCAATGCTGGCGGACCTGGAGGTGTGGGATCGTTACGAGGAAGGCCTCCAGGAGGTGTTGCCACCTGAGGTGCTTGGATGGTTGTTGTTGAGGAGGGCAAACCTTCCCACCAGTGCTCGCCTTTCGATTCAGGCGGCGGCCGGAAACTCGTTGCTCTTCACCGACATTGAGCGTGCCATGCGAGCAATGGAAGATGAGCTCATGGTGCATGACGATTCCCGTCGACAGCCCCAGCATCAGAAACGCAGGTCTTTCTGGGTTGAAGAAGACGGAGACTGGAGTCTACTCTTGACTCCAGAAGAGGACCTGCAGGACGTGATTTCTTCCTCGGAGATCCTGCATGTGGGTTCCAGGCTCCCCCAGGATGTCTATTTTCAGCAGGAACCTGATGCTTTCCAGGGTCAGCTCGAAACAGGATTTTGGCATCAAGAGGATGATGGAGCCTACTCCTATTGGGAGCTTGCCGAGGATGGCGAGTACTACACGCAGGACCCGTCTGGATTGTTCTGGGCGTGGCATGATTGGGATGAACTTGGAGCGACGGCTTCCGGTGGCGGCCCATCAGACGGGCCCAAGGAACCCGAAGATGCTTTCTCCTTGAGCGACCCCAAGTCCCGGACCTTCACTCAGGCTCGGCAAGCAGTGAGGGCTCAGAAGCTGTCCCGAGGTTTTTATCCGTTTAATCCTTCCATGAAAGGAAAATCTCGGGGCAAAGGCAAGGGCAAGGGCAAATCTAAGGGCAAGGGCTTCTCCTCGAAGTCTCATGCAGCCCCAGTCCTTGCGGCGACCGGTGAGATCTATGCTCAACCAGGTGATCCCTCCTTTACCGGATGCTTTGTATGTGGCGCTAAGGACCATTCATGGCGATCCTGTCCCAAGAGGTCCGGATCAAGTAAGGGAGGGGGAAAAGGTAAAGGGGGCCGGAGCTTCTTCTCTGAGAGCATCTTTATGATCCAGTCGGAGAATGATGATCTCCTGCCCGAAGACCAGACCATCGAGCCTCCAGCCGTGCAGACGATGCCTTTCTCCAGTGGTGACTTTGAACCCGCCACAGCACGCTTGGAGCTCTCCAGGACTGGGATGTGTGATTTCAGATGGGATCCACCCGCATGTCATACACTGCAGGAGCGAGTGACTTCAGTATGTCCGTCCACTCACGATTTTTCTTCTGCCTGGGTGGTGACCTCGCATGAGATAGGAGGCGCTTTTGCATCCAACAGTGGGGATCAACACCAAAGAGGGCATGCAGTCATCGACTCAGGAGCTACCGAGACTGTTGGCTCACTTCCTGCGATTGAGGACTTGATGAGGTTCAGATTTGAAGTGAGCGGGACTCCTGATCACTTTGCGATTTCGGATACGCCTCCCAGGAGATTTCGCTTTGGCAATGGCTCAGTCGGATTCTCATTGTCACATGTGCTGATCCCACAGGACTTAGGAGCCAACCGCGTTGATTTGGGGGTATACTCTCTAGATGTGGAAAAGGTTCCAATCCTGATCGGCATCCGCACCCTGAAAGCGCTCAGAACCGTCTTGGATTGCAGTCAGGCAGTGGCTGTCTTCGCTGCTTTAGATGCTACAGTCGGTGTGCGATTGCGGAGAAGTGCATCGGGACATTTGCTGTTGGATCTGAGTAAGAACTGGTTGCAGGACTCTGTTTCCATTTTGGCACCGACAACAGGAATCCTGATCGCCTCAACCGAGCCTCAAGATCAGGAGAAAAAGGAGGATTCAGTCTTTGTTGTGGAGCCAGATCCAGTGCACTTTCGTTCAGAATCCCATGTGGATCCACATGTGCAAGCTCCTTCCGAAGCTGTCGAACTTCCCGCAGTCCTTTTTCATTCTCGAGGATCAGGACACTCGGCTTCCGTCGTGACAGCCTCGAACCCCGGTGACTCCACCTCGGATCCTTTTTGGGTTCTTCGCGCTCTACTTGCCGGCCATGGCCGCCTCGACCGAGAAGGACTTCAGCAAGAGGACGGAGGAATCCACCGAGAAGGCGATCGCCATGGCCAAGGCATCGATCCGGAACACGTCGACCCCGAAGTCCAAGGCGAAGGCCAAGGAGTCGAAATCCAAGGAGAAGGCCCCGGAGCTCGACTGGGATCGCATCGAGGAGGGCAACCCCAAGGATGCTCGTCTTCATGGAAGTCCTTGCCATGGAAGCCATCAGATCAAGACGCGCTCCAATCAGCACGCCATGTGGCAGTGGTGCGAGAGGTGCGGGGTTCGCCTTTGCTATGTGCCGAGGGCTGGCAAAACGGGGTTGCATCGAGCTGCCGGTCCTCTTGCCGCGGATGTCCAGTCGATCACGTACGAGGTGAGCCAGACGGAGGAGCTTGCCTACAATCCCAGGCTGAAGGACCAGGCGATCGGACTTCAAGCAGCGGAGAACTCAGCCCTACGCCAGCTCGAGCACATCAGGGCGCAGAAGGAAAAGGTGATCCCGAAGAACGCGGCTCCGGCGATGAGGCCCAGTTCCCAGCCGAATGCGGCGAAGACATCAGGTCCGATCCCGAACGGCCCTGCACCTTCCTTGCCTACGGTGCCAGCCGAAGTGGTGGATGTGGACCAGGAAGCAGCCACGCCGGCCGATCCGGAGACTCTTCCCGCGAACCCGGCGAACAAGCGCCACCAGGCGAACTCAGCCGAGAGCCTGGAATACGCTCAGAGGACCGGGGAGGACAAGTGATGAGTTCCGAAGATCAAGATGTGAAGAGTCTTGAATCTTTAGCGCGAGGCCTGTGCGATCGACATGCCTTCAGTTTCGCTGAGTGTGACCGGCTGCTTCATCAGTTGGCGACTGTTGGAGCGGCCTGGAACCGAAGCCGACGTTTGCCCCTGGATGAAAAGAAAGCCGGCGGCTACTTGACTTTCGGTTTATTCTCTCATGGAAGCATGCATGGTTTGACGCGCAAGACACATGACTTTCCCTTCTTGTGCCGTTACTTGAACCTTTTTGGCAAGTTCCACCTCAAGGAGCACGGTGCGCATTGGACGAGTTTTTCAATCAGTGTGAATCAGGCAGTCAACTTGCATTTGGACGGGCACAATAGCCCGGGGTCATCCAACTACACGTGTTCTTTTGGTCAGTTCGATGGAGGTCAATTATGGGTTGAGCTCACTGAGGGTTGCAATTCGTTGTCAAGTCCCGTGCGATGGAAGACCAAGCGTAACGGGCAACGAGTACCAGGACACCTTCACAGCACCCACCATCAGTTCGTGCAGTTTGACCCGAAATCCTTTCATGCCACTGACCGTTGGACAGGACTTCGCATTTCATTGACCTTCTACACGTCCCGGCTTATCGCTCAGAGTGATGAGACAACTCGAACCAGTTTGAGAAGATTTGGTTTTCCATTGCCTAGGTCTTTGCCTCGGAGAGACAACTTCGAGGACCAGGATCTTGTTGCAGAAGGGGAAGATGATGTGTGCGCCTTTGCTCTGACTCAGGATGTCCGAGATCTTGTACATCACTCTTGCCAAGAAGTCTGGGATGAGGTCAACAGTTTGTTGGATGTTCACGGTAGGGATGCGAACTATGTTCAGGTGGTTGAGTTGGGCGGCCCTCGTGACAGTCGCCTGTGTCAATTACTATGCCAACAAGGAGGCACTGGCTATGCTGCGAATCTTCAGTCCGGTTTTGATCTTGGGACAAAAGGTGGTTTCCATCGAGCCCTCCAGCAACTCCGTGAACTTAGACCGCAAGTTGCATGGATTCAGCTTCCTGCTGGACCAGCCAGGCCCAGGTGCAAGAATGACTCAGAGAGGACTCGTTCTCTCCACCATCGCCATCGAAAGGTTGTCCAGCATGTGGTGAACTTGAGTCAGACTCAACTTCGTCACGGAGAGTGCGTGTGGATCTCAGAGAAAACCTCAAGTGCTTGGAGAGATCCAGATGCCTGCCATCTCTGGCAACAGTTTGCGGAGGACGGTCGAGCGTTCGAATGGCAGTGCGGGGACTTTCAGGTGCGCACTACTTCCAAGGTTCTTTTCATGGAATGCTCCCGAATCACATGCACTAATGAATCTCGAGAAGCCTCTTTGGATAGTTTATATCGTGCCGTATGTGGGTCGTTGATGAATGTCCATGGTGCGATCAGTTCTCCGGACGTTTCAGGTATGGCCTACGCCGTGACTTCCCAGAAGGAAGCTCTCGAAGGCGTGACCAAGTCTGAGCTCGGGGGCTTGCTAGACACGGTGCAGAAGCTTCATCGAAGGTTTGGACATCCCACCAACAGCTTGCTGGTCAAGAACTTGCGAGCCCGAGGTGCCTCCCCAAAACTTCTTGCAGTCGCCGCAGAATTTAAATGTGATGTTTGTTTGGAGAATCAGATCCGTGCTTCAGCTCCCTCGGCTAGCCTGGAACGGGAGGACCGACTCTGGTGTGCTCTTCAGATAGATGGTTTCTACATGTCTTTTGGACAGGAAGTTTTCCACTTTCTTTTGATGGTCGATGAGGCGTCGGGCTTCTGTCAAGTTGAAGAGGTGATGCGCCATTCGGAGAAAGAGTCTCGGAATGTCACGACCGCGCAGGTGGTGAAAACCCTCGAATCGAGATGGTGCCAGTTGTTTGGATTCCCAGAAACTATCAAACTGGACCCCGAGGGTGCATTCCGCGGACTAGATCTGGGCGAGTACTGCGCTTCCCGTGGCATCGAGCTAGGTTTCGTGCCTGCGGAGTACCACCAGGGCATTTCCGAGGCCGAAAGAACCATAGGCACGATCCGCCGGAAGATTGAAACATTTCTTCGTGCGGAACAGTATGCGCCCTCTCGTGCGGCTGCTCAGATGGTTGCAGCTCACAACACCTTGGCCAGAACCTCGGGATTCAGTCCGGCACAATGGGCCTTCGGCAGAGACGCATCCATTACAGGCCACAGCCGGGAACGAGATGGAGAAGTGTGTGCCCGAAGTGCTATGGCCGATCCCTCCCATGCCATGCACGAGGCTCTGGAATTGAGGACCAAGGCGGAGAAGGCCTTCTTGGAGTACCGGGCCCGAAACTTGGCATCTCGAGCATTGAATTCCAAGACAAGACCTTCCAAGCATTTCCTACCTGGAGACATCATTTTCTACCAGAGGTTCCAGACCCCACAAGACACCCCCGCAAACACTACCGTAGACCGTCCAAGATTGAATATCGCGAGATTCTACGGTCCAGGTCGGGTGTTGGCCACGGAGACACGAGTGGACTTTGAGGATGGTGTTCGCAAGGCTGGAGCTATTGTGTGGGCGGTCTGCAATGGGAGGTTGAAGAAGTTCCATCACTCCCAGGTGAGACATGCCTCTGAGACTGAACGTCTTGTGGCAGAAGGCTCCAACGCCATTGCTTTTCCGTGGACATTTGCATCATTGGCGGATTTGCTTGAGAAAGGCTCGTATGATGACGAGTCGATTCCCAGGCATAGACCGCGTGGGCGTTCGAGAACTCCCGCGAGATCAAGATCCTTGCCACCCACGGCCCGAAGACGCATTGACATGCCAGAACCGCCTGTGCCTCAAGATTCTCCTTCTCAAGATCAACCTGAGGATCCTCCGGAAGAAGAAGAATTAATAGAAGTTCCAACCAGCTCAGGTGCCAAGAGAGACGCTCCTGACCCTTCCGTGGATGAGGATATGGAGCTCATCCCGGCTCCGGGCTCAAAAGAAGGAAGCGGTGTCTCTTCGATCAACATGGCACGGTTTCTGAATGATCCTCAGTACTTCCCGGTGGAATTTGTGAACCTTGAGGCCGAGGACGAGGCATCGTTGTTTCAGATTGCATCCACTTCTGAAGATAATGAGGCATACCCCGGCTCTGTGCTCGCCGTGACTCTCGAAGCTCCCGCTACGGAGGCTGAGTGGAAATCTCTAGTCAAGAGTCCTAAGAAATTCTTGGCAAAATCCGTTCAGAAGGGTGTGGAAGTCAGCTATGCAAAACTCAACCCTCAACAGCGCCGTGCGATGGATGAGGCGATGAAGGTTGAAGTTGATAACTGGATGAAGACGATGGCGGTGAAAGCAGCCCGACAGTATGTTCCTCAGCGTGAACTTCTGAAAATGAGGTGGGTCTTGACCTTTAAAAGTGCGGCCCAGGAATCGAATGATGCCAATGGCAGTTCCCCTGAAGTGCACAAGGGCAATGCGGTTCAGGGGGAGCGGATCAAAGCCAAGGCACGCATAGTTATCCTCGGATATTCAGACCCAAACTTGCTTGAAGCAACAACCGTTAGCCCGGCTATGACTCGTTTGTCACGGCAGCTCCTGCTGAACATGGCCGCAGCCAAGAAGTGGGATATTCTGTGTGGAGACGTCAAATCGGCATTTCTGCAAGCGAAGTCTCCGCAGGCTGATCGTTGCATCTTTGCGGCGCCCGTTCCCGAACTCAGCAAGGCCCTGAATCTCCGGGAAGGGCAAGCAGTTCAGCTTCTTCGGTCAGTATACGGATTAGTTTCAGCTCCGAGGGAGTGGTATGAAGATGTTCATAAGACGCTTGTGACTCTGGGCGCAGAACGCCTGGCCACCGACAATTGCGTGTGGAGAGTGCGAGACTCCACCACCGGTCAGATCGTCGGACTCATCTCCAGTCATGTCGATGATTTTCTGATGTGCGGCGAGAACTCCTCTAAGGTTTGGAAAGACTTCTTGTTTGCCTTCGGCAAGAGCTATGAGTGGTCACCCTGGGAATATGGACACTTCAAGCATTGTGGGGTGTCCATCATGCAACACCCCGATAGCTCAATCTCCTTGGATCATAGTGCCTTTTGTCAGGAGCTCAAGCAGATGAACCCGATTCGCGGTGAACGGAAGCTGACAGCCGAGGAGGTGAGTCAGGTGAAGGCCATATTGGGCAGCGTGCAATGGAGGGTATACCAAACAGCTCCACAGCATGCTGCCAAGCTCAGCTATCTGCAGAGTCTGATTGCTTCACAGGACTCCTCGATCGTGGAGCAGGTGAACAAACTTGTCAGGGAGGTATATGCCTCCAGAAGCCTGGGTGTCCAAGTACAAGCTCTAGGAGCAGGTGACCCTGAAGATCTTTGCATGGTGGGTTGGTCCGACGCCAGTTTGGCCAACAGGCCAGACCTTTCCTCAACAGGCGGCTTCATGATAGGGATGATGAATCGTCGTGCCCTCGAAGCTGGATCGGGTCGTGTCAACCCGGTATCATGGCGCAGTGGTAAGTTGCATCGCATAGCAAGAAGTTCATTATCGGCAGAGGCTCAGTCACTAGCTGATACAGAGCAAGAGCTCTTCTTTGCCAGGCTCGAGTGGCGAGAGATGCTCGGAGATCAGCTTGACCTACGACAACCCGAGTCTTGTGCCTCCAAGGTCTGATCGTGGATGCGAAAGCCATGTTCGACTCCCTCTCGAAGGGTGTCTTCGTCTCCAGCCAGAAGGACAAGTACACTGGTTTGGAGCTCCTCGCACTAAGCCAGCGCCTCGAGGCCCAGAAAACGGTGCTTTTGTGGTGCGACAGCGACCATATGCTGGCAGACGGCCTGACGAAGGCCAGCAAGCAGGACGTGCTTAGGCGTTTTCTATCACATGGTACATGGAGAATCAGGTACGATGGTGCATTCATTTCCGCCAAGCGCAGGAGGCAGATGCGTCAGACAGAAGATTCGCAAAGTGCTGCTTTTCTCCTTTTCAACGATTTCTTGTACAGCGCAGACATGTGAACTTTTCGGCATTGTCCCCTGGGGTGTGTCAGAGGACATGTCCTGTCCAGTTTTGCCTACACGTTCACATGGCTGCAGACGTCTCTGTGCATTCAGGAGCTCCTTTGGCCCAATTGTCTTTCGACACTAGTGCTACACAGTGTAACCTTGCCTCCGTAGGAGGCCCTTTTCAGAAGCCATAGGCTCCGGTGTGCGTCCCGAGACGTGTGACGACAAGTCAGAGACTTTCTTCGAGCTGCTGTGAAAACCCTTCGTGCGCTCTACAGTTTTTGGTCTTTCTGCAAGATTCATCTGATAGCTGCAACAGTGACACCTTTGGAGAGGAGAGCCCATCCGCTTACCGATATATGGTCTCTATATAATCCCAAAGGTTAACCTCAGTTCCGCTTCATACTGGACAAGTAGATATATAGGTCTCTTGTAGCAATGAGTTCAGGATGCCAGTCCCCTGAAGGTTTTGGGACCTCAGAGCATGAAGCTTCAGGTCCTGAGACAAGGGTCGGCCTGCAACTTGCAGAAGCTGAGGGGTTTGGGCTGTTGTAGACCGACAAGCTGCTAGACCGAGGCAGCTCCCCGCTCCCTCTCTTTCTCCTCTCTCTGCCTCTCAATTTGACACTTCTGGTGTGTTGAGGCACATCTTAAGCCCTGAACCCTAAACCCTGAACCCAAGTACGTAGGCCCTAAACCCTGAACCCAAATAATATGTAAACCCCAAGCCCTGAACCCAAATGTGCAAGCCCCTAAGCCTGAACCCCAAAATTCCAAACCCTAAATCCTCAACCCGAAGCAATAAACCCTAAACCCAAATACACAAGCCCTAAGCCTGAACCCTAAATCATAAACCCTAAGCTCTAAATTTCAAACTTGAGATAGGTAAGCCCTTAGCCTGAACCCTAACTCATATACCCTAATAGCCCTAAACCCCAAGCCCCAAAAAGGTAAGCCCTAAGCCTGGACCCTAAATCCTCAGCCCTAAACCTCAAACCCCAGATAGGTAAGCCCTGAACCCTAAGCCCTAAGCCCCAAACCCGAGAAAGGTGAGCCCTAAGCCTGAACCCCCCAGGTACCTACTTTATAGGGTACTCGAGCCCATAGGGCCATATATAGTAGGTACCTGGGGGGTTAGGGTAAGCCTGAACCCTAAATCCTCAGTGCTCTGAGACAGCTTCTTTCGGCCGGTGCTCATGTCCAGCAGCCGGCAGCTAACGGGGCGACCGCCATCTCATTGGCTGCCCGGACACAGGCCCTTTTCTAGGCGGTTTAGGGTTGAGGGTTTAGGGTTGAGGGTTCAGGGTTCTTCGTGGCTCAATTTGTGGGCTGTTTCTTCGTCGGCTTCTTTTCATACAATCACCGTCACCACTGTGATGCTCACTACTTCTGATGATTACGCGGAGGAGGGGCGAGGGTAGTCATGAGGATCATGGAGTTGTCTTTTTCGGGGTACCAGGTTTGGGGGCAAGCGAATGGAAATGTGTTGCATAATGCCAGCGGCTGCCCCAAACCTTAAACCCTAAACCTTGAACCCTAAGCCCTAAACCTTAAACCCTAAACCCTAAGCCCTAAACTCTGTCACAAGCTGACTCTGAAGCCGATCAAAGCGTTTGCGAATCTGTCTTCGACCCAACTCAGTTGAAAGGCTCGGTCTGCTCTCAGTAGGGAGAGGAGTTTCTTTAAGGATGTCACAGCATCCTCGCTACTGCTGAAGAGCAGTAGCCTAGATTCTTAGGGTGTTTCCCCTTCTCGGCCCTGGTAAAGAAGCCCGACGTCGTCAGTGTTGGAGTGTTGGGTCTATTCGCAGGACGAGGAAATGCTCCGCCACTTGGCCCAAACAAGTCATTGAGTCCTTGGGGTCCACATAGGTGCTACACTGCTACACCGTGCTATAGGATTTCCAAGCAGATAAGGCTAAGCTTGGCCAAGGATCATGTTTGCTAGCTGCTAGCTGGCTTCTTTGAGGATGAGTTGGGGTAGTTTCCTCGATGTACACTCATCCGTCCGTCATGGACTTGTTAGACAGCATCTGCCAACGAGAACAAACAACCTGCTCATGCTCATGCGACATGAGCCACGGCCTGCAAAGCCCCCGAGGCTGTCTGCTCCAAGCATCGAAGGCTGTCTCACCCGAAGACCTGGATCAACTGTTCGGCGGCGGATAGAAATGCAAACTGCCAGGCAGGCCTCGCCTATGCAGCCTCAGCGAGTATGTTGCAGTCAGTTCTGCTGCAGCTGTCGAGTGGTCTTCACTTGGCTTCCCGTTGGTGGTTCTTCTATGTTGTCTATCGAGAGTGCAGATCGACAGCGAGAGAGAGAAAACAAACATGCAGAAAGACATAGAGAGCGAGAAAGAGGAGGGACATGCAGATGGTTTGATAGTCGTTGGATGCAGAGTGCACTCAGCAGGTACGTTTTTAAGCAAACGTTGGTACGGTCCGATGAGAGATGCCGCGACATACTTACCAGGATCGCCATGCACGGCGGCAGCAGATTCAGCCACATGCAATGTTCTTGAAAATAGCACTAGAATGCTAGACTCCTGGATACCTAACTTTACACCAGCAAATTGAAGCACCTCAGCCTCTCGAGTTGTAAACTGCAGGCAGTAAACCTCAAGACATAAATCCCATACCCTAGACCTACACCCAAACTCCAGACCCTCAACCCTAAACCCTAGACTCCAGACAGCAACCTCGGGGTCTGTTCTTCGGCGCATGCATCCATTGAGGTCGCGGCCCGCACTGTCGATGCCCGGAGGCATCTCGAGGAAAAGGTCGCTGCCTGAGACGGTGGGTCATTAGTTCAAAGGGTTTAGGGCCTGTTTAGGGTTTAGGGTTGCGAAGGGTGCATAAAAACTGGTTACGGTCGTAAGGGCTGCTATAAAGGTTTCAGGGTTTAGGGTCCAGAGACTTGACTTTCGGAGTTTAGGCGTTCAGGTGGAGGCTTATGGCCTTGTTGCATGACGAGGTTTAGGGTTTGGGGGTTTCGCATGCATTCAGTGGTGCTGCCGAGAGACCCGTGTAGTTGCTGCAGTCTTGGAATGTAATTATTTGAAGGTTTTGATATTATGATTAGTATATGCTATAATGCGTTGCTCTTCTCATTCCGAGTGTGCGAGGGTAGAGTGGGGTCGGTCACCATGCCTGACCTGCGGGTGACACGTTGCCTCTTGGCACCGCTGCTGGCATTGGCACAACAGACTGCCAATACTGCTCATTTCGAGCCAGATCCAGAGCTCTGTCCCACGACGACGGTCTTACCGTCTCCGTAGTGTCGCCTGTTCTGAGGAGGCATCTGCGCAGCAGCTACACGCTATCGAACTTGAAAGGACCGATATTGTCCGGGCCTCGGGTAGACTGGGGCTTTACCCAGTGTTGCTGCTATTGTCGACGACACGGTTGTGGTTGTGGTTGTGGTTGTGGTTGTGGTTGTGGTTGTGGTTGTTGTTGTTGTTGTTGATGTTGTTGTTGTTGTTGTTGTTGTTGGTGTTGTTGTTGTTGTTGCGGTTGTTGTTGCGGTTGTGGTTGTGGTTGTGGTTGTGGTTGTTGTTGTGGTTGTTGTTGTTGTTGTTTGTTTGTTTGTTTGTTTGTTTGTTGGTTTGTTGTTGTTTGTTGTTGTTTGTTGTTGTTGTTGTTGTTGTTGCTGCTGCTGCTGCTGGTGTTGTTGTTGTTGTTGTCGTTGTTGTTGTTGTTGGTGTTGGTGTTGTTGTTGTTGTCGTTGTTGTTGTTGTTGTTGCGGTTGTGGTTGTGGTTGTTGTTGTTGTTGTGGTTGTTGTTTGTTTGTTTGTTTGTTTGTTTGTTTGTTTGTTG